TTGCCCTTGTAATAGTTGTTGTCGTCCTTCATATCTTGTGTTATTTATTCACACTGTTATTTCACACTGTTAAACCTTATATCTTATTTAACCTCAGTAGGGCCCTGACCTTCCTCGTCACTACCCAACCGAGGTTAGGCTTGGCACTTACTGAGTACCGCTGTGGTGTACTCATGCCCTTCCTGCGCATGTTTTTCATATGCAGATCCAGGTACCTCTACTCAGGCTTACCATTCTTGAGGCGAGGCGATTCTACGGGACTTCGAGGTATATCTGCCACGTCCGTAAACCGAGGAGTCTCTTCTATTCTTGCTTTTAGTACTTAGCCCTTCTGTACTTTCTGTTATTGTTAGACATTCTGGAGATTAGAGCTATGTAGTGTTAACACAGCTTGTGGATCCGTGAGTTTCCGGGTTTTGGGATAGTGTATCAGCATTTGAGAAGTTGTGTGTTTTTATGCCGAGCGACATCTAAATGTTATTTCTTTCTGTTATTTCAGCTTTTTGATTATGTATTCTGCAAGATCAGTTGTTTTCCGCATTTATTAGGCTTACCTAGTCGTAGAGACTAGGTGCCGTCACGATAGTTCACGGAGGGCGAACTGGGGTCGTGACATTAACAATGCCAAGATTACCAGCCTCCCAAAGGAGAAGATTCAGACTTGTCCAAATCTTACGACACCATAGAGCACACACAATGGCAAATCTTCCTCCAAACACAACCACTCAGATAGGGAATCAAACCATCTTCTTCATTCAACCCCCTCTACCTCAAGACCACCAACCATTATCCTGGTTAGAGCAAGCCCTAATGGGCCATGCAATATCATTCAACATGATCTTGGATGGCCAGGAGAGACAGTAATCATTCTTCAAAACTCACACTTCCTAGCCCAACTAGTATCCGAGGGAATGCACATGGCTATGAGCAATTACCGAAACCATGTTTGGTTGAACAATGTTCTTCACCCACTAGCTCCCTCGATGAATGGAAGCCAAGCACACGCAATGAGAAGCCATTGGAATCTGCCTCCTCATTTCAACCCTCTACCACCAGAAAACACGACAATGGATCTCCCCTTCTTCCCACCAGGAGAGATCTCGTTCATGAACCCAATCTTCATACCATGGAGTGTAGCTCAGAGCCAAGCACAGAACCAAGCATTTTCCCCTCCTCCAGTAAATCATTCCCATCCACAAAATCATCCCAATGTGTCAAAACCAGAAGATCACCAAGAAATGCATGTAGAAGGGATGAATTTGCTAGGGTCAGAGGAAACAATGGAATTTTCAAGTCTAAATGATGTAAAGGTATATCTCTTCAGGGAAGTGCAAGAGAAGAGGTATATTCTCAGCTGCCCACCGGCCTTATACAAATGCTCGATGGACATCAGGCCTCCACAAGACCCAACAGTGGGGAATCATGCAATGATACTGGTCCCTTCACTAAGGAGGAACCTAGTGCTGCAAGCACAGATGGAGAATGGTCCGACAAACAACCATGCAATGATGTATCGACCAACTAACATAATAATATGGAACATTCGTGGAGGTAATAATGATAACTTCCGCATAAATTTTAGGGAAATGGTTGATACTCATAAGCCATGCATGGTGACTCTTTTGGAAACTAGGATGGAAAATCACATCTCTCTTCTTAGTGATTTTGCTTTTTCGGAAATAGTTGAGGTTCCTTCTGAAGGGAAGTCTGGAGGTATGGTTATCCTATGGTATTCCAGTGTCGTTAAGGTTCACAACTTCGTTAGGAGAAACCAGGAAATCCATGCCACTGTTGAGGTACTTCCCTCTCAATCTACTTGACTTTTTTCCTCTATTTATGCTAGCACTAAGCTTGAAAAAAGGCGTGACTTATGGAACAATATAGAAAATATTCATAATAGTTATAATGGCCCTTGGTTGTTAGGGGGAGATTTTAATGATATTTTTTGTACAAATGACAAATTTGGTGGAAACCCCGTTAACCGTAGGCGTCGAAATTCGTTATGGAATAGCATTAACAACTGTAATTTAATAGATTAGGGTATAAGGGCTGCAAATATACCTGGTCTAACCATAGAAAAAAAATCTAGGGGTTTAATTATGGAAAGACTTGATAGAACTTTCGTTAATAAGGAATGGTTATCCTTATTTCCTAAACCAGTGGTTATTCACCTTCCCAAAACCCATTTCAGCCATAGTCCCTTGCTAATCAACCTTATTCCTAAAAATGTGAATCATAATAGTAAACCCTTTAGATTGGAAACAATTTGGTATAGACACCCCGATTTTATTAACATCGTTAAGCATTGTTGAAATGATAATGATCTTGTCACTGCTCAAAACTCTTTTTAGGATGTGGTCATTAAGTGGAAAAATGATACGTTTGGAGACATCTTTAAAAAGAAAAAGAGGATCCTAGCCAGACTAAATGGTATCCAGTCTTCCTCTTCTTACAAACATAGTCTCTTCTTACAAGATTTGGAATCTAAATCACAACTTGAGTATAATAATATTCTAAAAATGGAGCATGATTTCTGGAAACTTCGATCTAGAATCAATTGGCTCAATGAGGGTGATGCTAACACCAAGTATTATCATATAATGACTTCTAACCGTAAACGTTGTAATGCTATTATGTACTTCACTAATGATAATGGGGACTGGATTTCGGATCCCAAACAAATCCTAGACCATACTCTATCTTTCTTTATGGAGGCCTTTAAGACATCCAAAACTATCACCAATAAGAATGCAATCTTGAGTGATCCCTTATGCCATAACAATGTTGACCTAAGTAGCCTTGATAAGCCCTTATCTAACATGGAAATTACCAAGGCCATTTTTTTCTTTTAAGCCATTCAAAGCACCTGGTCTGGATGGAATACATCCCTTTTTTTTACCAGAAATATTGGCACATTTTTGGTGACTCTATTACTAACTATTGTCACAAGGTTTTCAAAACTCAATCCCTGCCAAGTGGTATTAATGAGACTTTTAATTGTTTGATACCAAAATTCCCTAATACTAATAATCTTAAAAACTTTAGACCTATTGGTCTATGTAACACGTCTTACAAAATTATCACTAAGATTATCGCTAATAGGATCAAACCTTTCCTCCCTTACCTTATCAGTCCCCTCCAATCCAGTTTTATAAAGAATAGAAGAGCCTGTGATAACGCCATTATTATTCAAGAAATTATGAATAATCTCCGTAGATTAAAAAGCTCGAGTTTTGATATGATAATTAAATTAGACACGGAGAAGGCTTTTGATAGACTGGAATGGTCTTTTGTCTATAGGACTCTTAGATACTTCAAATTCCGCCCTAACTTGCCCCGACTAATTATGCATTGTATTAGTACAGGCTCTATAGGGATCCTAGTTAATGGTTCTAGAACTAATTTCTTCAATCCTAGCTGGGGTATACACTAAGGGGATCCTCTATTCCCCTATGTATTCATCCTCTGTCTAGAACTCCTATCTAGACTCATAAATCACCAAGTAGACCTTTTAAGATAGGATCCCATCAACATTAGGCATAAAGGTCCCTCTTTTTCCCGTATCTTATTTGCGGATAACATTACTCTCATGGGGAAAGCAAACAAAAAACGGGGCAATGCATAAAATCTTGCATGGATCTTTTTTGTAATGAATCCGGGCTATCCATAAACACCTTAAAATCTAGAATTATCTTCCCCAAAAATTGCCCTAAGGACATCATCTTACATCTCACAAACCTTTTTGGCATAAAATCCACTTATGAATTTGGCAATACCTTAGCTTTCCAATCCTAAATCATTCTCCAACTACTAAAGACTACCAATTTGTGCTAGATAAATTGCACACTAAATTGTCTCATTGGAAATGCTCCTTCCTAAATATCGCTGGAAGGACTACTTTGGTCACTAGTACATTAAGTGTCATTCCTACTCATTTGATGCGATAGACTTTACTCCCCACTAAAATCCTAAAACAAATAGATAAAATTCAAAGGAATTTTATTTGGGGATCCACTAGCTTGGCAAAAAAACTGCATCTCATTAACTGGCAAATGGTTACAAGAGAAAAAAAGAGGGTCGGCTTGGCATTCGTTCTGCAAAAGCCAAAAATATGGTCTTGCTAACCAGTCTTGCATGGAGACTGTTGAGAAACCCTAATACTCCATGGGCTCAGTTGATTACGGCTAAGTATGCAAAGAATAAATATATGGCTTCCACCTCTTTCATCTGGAAATCTCTCCTTAAGGGATAGAAAGTATGCAATACTGGCATTCTTTGGCAAACTCAAAGATTAATATTTGGCACTCTAATTGGATTTACAACTCTAACTCTCTTCAGAATTCTATAGAGGGCCCTCTTAGCAAGAATGATCAAAATCTTTCAATAAAGGACCTTATCAAAAATGAGGAATGGAATATCGATGGTATTTCCTTTGATTTGCCCACTTATATTCTTAATAATATTGCTTTAACTCCTATCCCCGGTGAAGGCTCAAAAGTTGATAAAATCGGTTGGAGCCAAAACTTAAATGGTTTATTCACTACTAAAACTTGCTACAATCTCCTATCCTCTGCTAATCCAACTAGCTCCTCCTTTAAATTGGATTTGGGACCTCCATTGCCCCAACAAAATTAAATTCTTCCTTTGGCAATGCATGCATAACCGTATTCCTTGCGTGCCCTATTAGCTCATATAGGAATCAATATTGACTCAACATGTACGATTTGTAGAGTTGGGGTTGAAGATAGCCAACACATTTTCATTCATTGCCCTGTCTCTGATCGCTTTTGGAAAAATACGGGAATTCCTACTCAAAATATTAAGAACAATACTGACTGGCTCATGAGCCTAAGAAATACCTTCATCCAGTGTAGTAATCACCCCGTTAATTGGGAAACTTTATTTCCTTTCTCCATCTGGAATATTTGGAAGAATAGAAATAATAATAATTTCAACAATCTTGATTTTAATCTTGAAACCCAAAAGGTTATTCATCAAGCATGGGAATTCAACTTCTTCACGGAAAAAACCCCTTCAAAAGTGATAAAACTAGAATTGACATCAAGTGGGATAAGCCACCCAATGGCACGATCAAATTAAATATAGACGGTGCTTTTTCTAGTAACAATAAGGTAGCTGGCCTTGGTGGAACATTCAAAAATAGCAACGGAGACTGGATTGTGGGTTTTCACAAAGTAAGCCATGCAATATCACCCACACATGCTGAATTAATGGCGTTACAAGAAGGCTTAAAAGTTGCGAAAGAGATGAACTTCCAAAATATGGAAATTGAAACATACTGTACGGAAGTCGTAAAGCTTATATATGAGGATAGCTATAATTTTTCTAACATTGTTAATGAATGTAGATGGTTAATGCACCAGTTGAAGCCCCCTCCCCCCCCCCTCCTGAAGCATAATTTCAGAGAAGGAAATGCAGTGGCACATGTGTTGGCCAAGGAAGCTATTAAGAACCCGTCCTCTACTAAGTGTTTCTACCATGCTCGTCCACCTTTTTTTGTTGAGCAAGAAGTTTATTTCTACTTCTGTTTGTTACTATCGTCTAGCAACTATGGGCAATAGCAATGTCCTAAGAAACTCTATTATGACTATGTAACTTTTGTTTAGTAATATAATCTCCGTGTTTTACGTTAAAAAAAACCTTTTGTACGTCAATTGGGAGTCAATTACTCAAATGTCCACTCAACTATCCCAAATTATCTCCTAAAGTCATTTTTATTTCGTTTGTAACAACAAAGTCACTTAACTATGTCTATTGCACTCAGAAGGTCACTCAATTAGATTTTCCAAATTTGAATTGCCAAATACCTATTTTACCCTCTAAATTATAAACATTTATCTTCTATTTATTTTTTTAAACTTTTTAGTATTAACAACAAAAAATCAAAAAATTATTTACACAATTCAGAATGAAAGAAATAAAGGTTGTAAAATATATATTCCATGCACGTAATACAAAAATAATTAATTAAATAAAGATATTTTTATAATATACATTATATATTCTTAAAAATTATGCTCAATTATATTATTATTTTTCTACCAACTTTTTGACGACACAAAGTTATGTCACCAGGAAGCAGAGGGGGTTATCTGTATAGGTTAAAATATGCTATGTTAAGTCGTGCATGGAATATATATATAATATAATTGAGCATAATTTTCAAGAATATATAATGTATATTATAAAAATATCTTTATTTAAATAATTATTTTTGTATTACATGCATGGAATATATATTTTACAACCTTTATTTTCTTTCATTCTGAATTGTGTAAATAAATTTTTGATTTTTTTTGTTAATACTAAAATTATTATTACTAACAAATTATTCTAATTAATTTTTTACTCTGCTCATTATTTTGTTATTCCAGCATTATATATGCTTAAATACTTTCTGTTTTTTTAATTTATAAATAATATTTATTTATTCTATAGCTAAGTCCATAATATAAATTAAAAAGGAAAAAATCATAATATTAAAAAGTTTAGAAAAAAAAGAAGATAAATATTTATAATTTAGAGAGTAAAATAGGTATTTGGCAATCCAAAATTTGGAAAATCTAGTTGAGTGACAATATGAGTGCAATATGCATAGTTCAGTGACTTTGTTGTTACAAACGAAAGAAAAGTGACTTTAGGAGATAATTTGGGATAGTTGAGTGACCATTTGAGTAATGGATTCCGCCAATTGGTGATTTTGAAAGTGAATTCAAATATGAGCAGTAATTTTTCCATTTAGTTTGTAAGTTCAAATATGAGTATCAGTTTTTGTCATGATCACAACTTGCTAACTGCAACGACCAAATAATTAATTCTGTTGAAATACATAGTTATACATCATGTAATTATAGTAATACTTTTCCAAAAGAATAATATGTTAGTGAAGTAGTTAGATTGTTAGCATAGTAGAGGTGAAGTCAGTTACTTGATATGTGTGTGTATATGTATATATATTGTGTAAGTACTGTACATTTCAGTTAGAAGATATAGAACAAAAAATTTCCTACAGAATTTATCTCTGCTCAACCATTGTTCTTCTCCCTCTTAGTTTTCCTTTCTTACTCTCTCTACAGTCGAGCTTCAATGGCATCAATGGCTGCCGATATGTTCAATTTAACATGGTGTCAGAGCTAGGCTCACAACGATCGATATCGATAGTCGCATAGAAGCTCAGATCTGATTTCTCCTCTTCTCAGATTCAACTTTCCCTAATTTCTCAGTTAATTCTCGTTTGTGCTAAATTCCGCACCAAATCCTTCACTAAAACCAAAAATGTCAGTCGATACACCTCAAAACATAGCTGGAACCTCACATGCAAGCTCTCAACACACTTGATTGTAACGATCCACTCTATGTGCATTCGTCAGATACGCCAGGTGTGGCGCTGGTACCACAATTGTTGATTGCAACGGAGAACTACTCGGAGTGGAGTAGATCGATGAAGATATCACTGCTCGTGAAGAATAAGATCGGGTTTATAGATGGATCGTGTGCTCGAGAGACCTACATAGCAGATAGCTTTCGATTGCATCAGTAGTAGAGATGCAATGCCATTGTCCAGTCATGGATAATGAGCTCTGTAGCACTGGAGCTGAGGAAAGGAATCGTGTATTCATCAAATGCACAAAAGGTATGGGAAGCCTTCAAGGAACATTTTGATAAGGTAAATGCAACGAAAATCTATCATATGAACACATAAATAAGTAGTCTAACGCAGGGTATCTCCAGTGTATCGATATATTACTCAAAATTGAATGATTTGTGGGCTGAATTTAAGTTAATTATACCTTATCCTGGTTGTGATTGTGTGAGATCTAGGCTATTTAATGAATTCCTACGCCAACAAAAGCTAATGAAATTTTGGATGGGACTAAATGACACCTATGCACCTCAAAGGAGTCAGATTTTGATGATGAACCCCACTCCCACACTTGATCAAGCATATTCTATGCTCATACAGGAAGAGAGTCAGAGGATGAGTGGGACTTAGATGTCACAGAGTGGTATTCTGGGGAGTGGACCTGTGGAAGGTACCAACAGTGCCTTAGCTACAGCAAATGCAACTAACATCAGGCCTAAGCGTAACACTAATCTCTACTGTCACTATTGACACATGAAGGGCCATAAGAGAGAGAATTGCTACAAACTAATTGGATCTCCATCCAACTCTAGGTTTGAAAACAGAAGAAGAGGTGGTTTTGAGAACCAGAATCAAATGCCTACAACTCATAACGTGAGTATGAATGATAAAGGGGAAATGCATTTTGAAAATCTGAAGAAAATGACTACACCAACAGTGCAAGTGTTCACTGCTGAACAGTACCAAGCAGGGAACATGAGCCAACTGAAGCGGCACACATAGCAGGTATATCTAATGCTTCTCAAGGTTACTGGATTATTCACTCTAGAGCTTCAAATCACATGGCTTCATCCTTGAACCTGTTATTAAATCCTAAGACTGTGCCCAATAATCAACCTAACTATGTGCAGTTACTAAATGGAAACAACACTAAGATCACTCATACTGGATCCTGTCCTATTCTCCCTAGGCAAACTATACAAAATGTGCTATATGTACCTGACTATAAGTACAACCTTCTCTCTATTTCTAAATACACAAGAGAATTACAATGCTCAGATAACTTCTATCCTGATTTTTGCCTGTTTCAGGATCTCTTCAATGGCATGGTGAAGGGGATTGGTAGACTCAGGAGTGGCCTATACATCCTCAATCCATTCACACGTAATGCTGCTCCTTCTACTGCTCTTCCTTCAAATCATATAGCTTCTTCAGTCCAACGTCATTCTGATGATTTATGGCATCAAAGGCTTGGTCATGCTCCAGTTGCAGTACTACAGAAAATACCCTCAATAAAGGATCTTGTGTCCAAATCAACACCTAATACTTGTTCTATATGTCCATTAGCTAAACAAGTTAGACTACAATTTCCTACTAGTGTAACCAGATCAAATTCTCCATTTAGTCTTGTACATATGGATATTTGGGGTCCATATAGACTGTCTACTTACAATGGTTTTAAATACTTCCTTACTCTCGTTGATGATTACTCCAGGATGACCTGGACATTTCTCTTGAGACTAAAAAGTGATGTCTATGTTGTCTTACTTGATTTCCTTCAAATAGTACACAATCAATTTTATGCTTCTGTTAAAGTCTTTAGATCTGATAATGGACATGAGTTTTTTAATTTTCTATGTTCTGACCTGTTTATATCCAAAGGCATAGTCCATCAAAGCAGTTGTGTTCACACCCCACAATAAAATAGGGTGGTAGAAAGAAAATACAGACATATTCTTGAAATAGGAAGAGCGTTAAGATTTCAAGCCCACATACCATTAAGATTCTGGGGGGGGGGGAGGGGATTGTATTCTGACAGCAACATACATCATAAATAGATTGCCCAGTCCAACCTTAAAGGGCCAGTCACCCTATGAATTGCTTCATGGTCAGCCATCAAAGCTTGACCATATGAAAACTCTCGGATGCCTCTATTATGCCACAAAGCCTAATTTTAGTGAGAAGTTTACTCCTAAATATATTCCTACAATCTTCATGGGGTATTCATCTACACAAAATGGCTACAGGCTGTATGATATTGAAGCTAGTAAGTTTTTCCTAAGTAGAGATGTAATATTCATGAACATATCTTTCCCTAAAAATTTCCTAAAAGTAAATTTTTTGCAGCTCCATATCTGAACTACTCACCATCCATAGACTTTCCTGATAAAACTTCACCTGCTCATTCACCCCCTCAACCTTACCTTTTACTTCAATCTGACTTCTCACCTTAACCTATTATACCCTCTTCACCTGATCTATCTACTGATTTCTCTGCACCACGGTCTCCAGCAGTTCCTGCTGATACATCCAATTTTGTTCCCACTCCTTCACCTCTTCCTCCATCTAATGTTGCTCCTCATAGAAGGTCAGGCAGAATATCCAAGCCCTCTATTTGGTTGACAGACTATGTCCATCCTTCATTACCTTCTACCTCCAATTGTATCAACTACCCTATCTACCACTATGTTTCCTATACTCATTTGCACCCACACTATCAATCACTTCTTGCCTTTTTTTCTATTGATACTGAACCTTCCACTTTCTCTCAATCATCCAAGGATGATAGATGGGTTTAAGCAATGAAACTTGAGATTAAGGCTCTAGAGGATAATCATACTTGGGAGGTTGTGGATCTACCTACTGGGAAAGTTCCAATTGGTTGCAAGTGGGTGTATAAGATTTAGTACAATGCTGATGGGTCAGTGGAGAGGTTTAAGGCTAGGCTAGTTGCTAAAGGGTACACACAGCAAGAAGGCCTAGACTTTCATGATTCCCCTATAGACAAACTTACCACTATTAGGACTGTTGTAGCTACTGTTGCACTGAAGCATTGGCCTATCTTCCAAATGGATGTGCACAATGCTTTCCTTAATGGAGATCTTGATGAGGAAGTCTACATGACACTACCCCAGGGATTTGGTAGTCAGGGGGAGTCTAAAGTGTGCAAACTACTCAAATCCCTTTATGGATTGAAAC